AGAACCTTATTTCTGATTCGCGCTCTTTGCGCCATAGTAATATGAAGTAGTAATATATACATAGTACATAGTAATATAGTAAATTCTTTTTTTTCTTATATCCTCACTAACCCTGACATATGTGTTCTAGTTGTTGAAAAATGTGCATTTGCAAATAAAATATATTATTATTATTATTATAATAATAAAAAAACTCCAGGTATTCCTTACAATCGAAAGTTCTCGTATTTAATGAGTCTTTGATTGATTTATGATCGGTCAATGACTGAATTGCAATAAATTAACACAATAAACTCGTGACGAATTCGCACATGAGGTTATGTTAGTTTGTTTTGGTTTGAGCCAAAAGCTGCAGGATATCATAACGAATGACGTAGTCACTAAATCAGTCTGTTAGAGGTCAACGCTGAGTTTTCCTAGTGATGATTGATGAACAACTTGTTGAGCAAAAAATTCGTCAAATGATGACTGATGAATGTCGGGATGATACTTTTGCTGGACTTTTTACAAATCAGTGTTGCTCAATTTTTATTAATCCCTCATACATAGGCGAATGGTCTAGTGGTTAGATGCGTCTAAATGGTCTTACTGCGACGTCCATCTAGTGGTTGGATGCGTCTAAATGACCTCACTGAGGTTCATTTAACACCTTGTTCATTAATTAAACTTGCTTTTCCTGTAAAATTTGACATTTTGGACATGAAAGGATTCATAATGGACTGATTATAAGATGTGAGATGATGATAATCATCACCTATATGCCTCTTCAGACAAATATAATTGTGGTAAATTATTACGTGAAGTTCGGCACAGGTTCCGTCCCTCAGCTTATAAAGTTCGCCTGCGGCTCTCAAGACTGTTCTGAGCTGCCGGTTAATATTGCGGTGATGGAAAATTTTGCACATATTCTGCATTTTATTCCCGGGAGAAATTAGAAAAAAATCAAATAATTTCCGGCGATTTGGTGACTATGACTGGTGTGATTTGTTTAAAGATTAAAACTCGCCTAGACACTGGACGTCCTCACTCCGGAAAAAAATCTACTGCTGAAACTTGACCTTTGAGCGAGATGGCGGGAATTCCTGAGCTTCAGGTGACCAAGTTCAAAACAAGTTCGAAAGAAACAGAAGCAATCCGTATCAAAGACGATGTTCCAGGTTAGTAAAAAAGGAAGATTTTTTTTCAAGCTTTGTATTTGGACAAAATCAGAGAGAAAAAAACCTCCTCCTATGAGTAAAAAAATGTTAATAATTTTATTGTTGTGAGCTTACATCTCGTGCAAGCAGGCGCGATTTTTTTTCCCCCCGAGAGAGAAAAAGAAGAAGGGAAAAAAGAAATGGGTTAAGAAAGAGGGGAGGAGGAAAGGACGGAGAAATTACAGGAGAGATAGTGGAAGAAGGAGAGAGGAGAAGAATAAGAGGGGGGAGAAGGAGAGGGAGGAGAAGACGAAGCAGAAGGAGAGAGAGAGAAAGAAGAATAAGGAGGGGAAGAGGGGGAGAAAAAGCAGCGGAGGGAGAAAGAGATAAATGATAATATGGAGGAAGGGGAGACGAAGAAAAAGACAAATGAGGGGAAGGAAAAGACGTAAAAGAAGAAGAGGCAGAAAGCGAGAAAGCATATAAGGAGAGCGACGAGGAGAATTAGGAGGGTAAAGGAGGAGGAGAAGATAGAGAAGAAGAGGAGAAAAGGAGGTGGATGATAATGGAGAATATTAACAATAAGTCTCGTACGCTCCTGAAGTGGTGGGTTTTTTGTATGCCTTTGAGTTTAAAATATTATTACCTTCTTCCATTCCACCTCAGTTTATGGTCCTCTTGTTTTCGTCTAATAGTCTTCCTAGACTGACATTTTGTTGGTTGCAGTCGTAGCAGCCGAACGCATTTGAAAATCCCGTATATCCTGGCTTAAGCTGTCAACAATTATTTAAGCTAAATTTATGACCCGTCCAACCCACCCATGAATTCTCAACAGTGCCAAACATGAATCGACTATCAATTAGCCCTGATAAACAAAACTGCGGCCGTCGGTGAATGAAAGTTCGTTGCCAACATTTGGGCCCAATATAGCGCAAAGAGTTGGAATATTTTTATTCTCTTACTTACTAACGTGGAGTCGGGCAATGAGATCAATACACTGACCTAAGGTTGAGCACATCTCATTGAACATCACTTTATTTCAGAGTGGATGATGTAAACATTACTGTCCGTTCTCCTAAGAGTTATCATCTAAACTCCCGGTTCCGATAGAGTGCGGTTGGCCGCAAGTTACATTTTCAAACCCCCAAATTTAAATAAAGATCCAGCAGCAGTGCCGCATTTATGAATTTTCACGGTCTGGGGGCAAAGCTTCCTAATTTTCACGAATAAATAAAATTTGCTGACTTTTCCAGGTTTTTTTTAGGTATTTTGAGATTTTTTTCACTCCGAGGTGATTTACATTAAAGTCGCGCAGCTGCTTGCAGATATAGAAGTTTGCTTCCAACAAAATTTGGACCAGGTGGTGTCAGAAGCGGATCCAGCAATTTGACAACATTGTTTTTCTCCATTTAAACTTTTGGAAATATATCGATTCTTGGAGGGGTCAGGTGTTTCGAGAAGAATCGATTATTTAACATTGGTTTAAATGGAGGGAATCCGGTGTTGCCAAATCGCTGGACCCGCCTCTGGTTTCACCACGATGGAATGATCGGAGGAGAACTTTCAAGCTACTTTTTGACAGTTGAATGGTCATTGATCACCCGAGTCCACAAAAGTCGCACTATCGACAGAAGGCATTTTCCGATATCAAGGACTTCACGTTCCTAAGACATACTTCAAGTGAAGAATGAATCAGTACGGGAGAAGCTCGTTATGGTGGTTGGTCAATCTTTTCATCGGTTCATCTATCTAAGACCAACGCGGGAAAACGCCTACGATTTCACACGAGGCACAGATCTCTTGCGTCACAACTCGCGGCGCCGTCCGTAAGAATAATAAACAATTACCATTTCCACCATAATGCCGTGCTGCGGAAAAACGCCGTAAGAACATTTGAATGTTGCCACGTTTCCAACGATAAAATACTTATTTTTGAGGAAAAATATGAGAATTTTTCACTGAGATTTTCGGATAATTTAGATCAAATTTCAAATAAAATTCTGTGAAAAATCGGAAGAAAAATATATCGAATTTTTCCGTGAATTTGTGATGTTTCGAAGGAGATTTGTCAACGCCTGATGGCTCAAGCGGTGTTCTTCCTTAGCACGGTCGCATGTGTGACGTATCCTACCGTGCGAAGGAAAAACATCGTATGAGCCTTCAGGCGTTGCAGAATTCCCTCTGGCAAATCACTAATTTTCAGGAAAATGTTTGAATACTTTTCCGCCAATTTCTCAGAGAATTTTGTTCGTATTTTGATCTGAAGTTCCTGAAAATTTCCAGGAAAAATATTCATAATTTTCCTCAGAAATAAACATTTTATCCAAGGAAATGTGGCAACGCTCGAATATTCATACGACTTTTTTCCTTAGCACAGCAGCATACGAGTGCAGTAAACACTGGCTTGTGTGGATGGAGCCAATGCGGAATGATTGACCTTAACTTTTCATTGACGCTTGAGCTGTGCATACAGACAATTAACTGCTAATTTTCACCACTGGATTGGATACAATTATTGTTATGTTTAATGTTGATGATTATCTTCTGAACTAAAATGCATATCTTCATTCTTTCCAATATAAATGTTAATTCTGTTCGAAATTCTATCGTCATGATAGCGATTTTATTCAAGGTCAGAGGCCACCGCACCGTCGCGCTACCGAGGTGTGCCACCATTGTCCATGAAACAAAGCCAATACGAGTTGTCTATTATTTTTGATGAGCGATGCCATCATTTTATTGCTCGACTTCAGCACCATTTCAGCCTTACAATTACTCAAAGTATTTACACGCTCGCACTCTAATAACGTAAGTGCTGAACCAGCACACACATTCTCGGGTATTTCGGTGACCATGACTTTTTCGATAAGTTGTTATTGATTCGGAGATGAAAATCCATGTGACCGCGAGATAGTGACAGTAAATACAGGTCACAAAAAGAAAAAGTTGAATATTTGATTGAAAAACTTTCTATATAATTGACTCAGTAATACACATTAGTTTATTAAGAAAAACTGCACAGGTCAAGGTTAAAAAGTATCGCATGAAGATTGCACGACAAAATCACAAAGCACGCAAAATTTACCAGCAGGACGGAAGGAGAGAAAACATGATTGATCGACTTTTAGCGATATGCAAACTAAGCACAGGGGCGATTAAGAGGTTAATATAAATATTCATAAATTTATAGGGTATTGATAAACTGCAGTTGACGAAAATTGAGTTCACAGAGAGGACTTCAAAACAAGAGAGGATTGGTGTGAATAATTGTCAAAAAACTCAACCAGGCTTCAAGATCTCATACAATTTACCAATGTTAACAATATATTTTTTTCGAACCAATAAAAATTTGCGAAAATAAGTACGTAAAAGTGGCAAAAAAACAGGGCGATAGAGAGTTAACTACAGGTACATTTTTGAGTGTAATGAATAATCTCGGGGACGGTCACTGAATTCAAACAATATCTATTGTACCACAAAAAATATCTTAAACATTTTATTGACTTTTGAATATGCAGAAAAAAAAAAAAACTACGGCCGGGGAAGCCATACTTACGGGCTGTAAAGACATAGTGTCCGTTCTGGGCCCAGAGGGCAAGTTCCGGGTACAGCGACCGGAACTTTCGGTATTTGAACACAGAGCAGTCGAGGATACGCTACGACTCCAGCACCCGGAACTTTTGGCCTCTGTACACAGAACAGTCGAGGGTACGCTACGGCTCTACCACCCGCAGCTTTCGGTCTCTGAGCCCAGAACGTGCAGTATGTCCATATAGCCCATAAAAATGGCTTCCACGGCCGGAGTTTTGATTTGTTTTCTCCAATGTGAATACGGTAAGAAAAATGAAGATACGAAACACCTTGTTTGATTTTCGTAACTATACTTAATAACGTCCTATTCGACAATGGCGGAAGCAAAATAACTAGCGATTCCGCAAGTGTTCTTGCCTCTGGCCACTTTTGCGTATCCGTGTTCCCCCCAGCTTTTGCCCCAGCTGTTTTTGAGGGACCAGAAATCGAGTCCGCTCTTGGGATCCCTTCCGTAGCCGACAACCAACACCGCGTGATCGGTTTTAGTCGAGTCGCACGTCCCTTCGGCCGGCGAGATTACACCCGAGATGTAGAACTGCAGCCGCTCGGCATTGATAGCGTTCACTGTTGATCCCTTGATAGCGATGAACTGCGCCATCTCATCTTCCGATGCCTTGTATACGTTGAACTCTTTTAGTCTCACAGCAACCTAAAAAAGTTTAAGAGGGCGTAACATTAATGCACTGAAGAAATAATTCCGGCCGTGGAAGCCGTACTTACGCGCTATATAGACATACTGTTCGCATTCCAGGCTCAGATGCCGAAAGTTCCCGGCGTAGCGCTCGGAGCAATCGAAGCTACGGCTCTAGCACCCGGGACATTCGGCCTCTGAGCCCGGAACGGACGGCACGTCCATACAGCCCGTAACTTTCTTTTTCAGTGTGAGGTCTTCACTGAAGGATAAGACGTTGATTTAAGAACACTTCGATGGGAGGAACTTATTCCCATTAATTAAAAAAAAAAAAAATAAAATAAATCGAAAAATTACGTTGCCAGTTCTAGTGTTATAATTGTACACAATGGGGTCATTCATTTTCTCAATCCTTCCGTTACATCTTTGTTTACTTTGGATTTAGAAACACCAGGAACAGTGCTTACATCTTGGAATTTGAGTTTCCGTTATAATTTTATTTAAATACATTGACTGGTTTATTTAAGATAGCAAAATTCTTCCAGCTCATAAAAAACGAAAATTAAAAGATTGTAGCAAAGGGAGTGGCTATTCTAGAGAGTCGGCAACACTGTTTTTCCTCCGTTTAAATCAATTAAAAAGTATCGAATTTTGGCGAGGCAAAATAATCGATTGTTTCACATACATTTAAATGGAGAAAAACAGTGTTGCCAACCTTGAAGAATCGCCACTGAGCATCAGAGACGCAAATATTGACGTCATTTCAAACAAAACGACGTAACTCCACATTTGCCTTGCTGGAACTGCCTACTTTGGCCATCGATTTAGAATATACAGCATTTCAACGGTGTAAGTCGGCAATCACATAACTCGTTTGCGGTGTCTGAAGATCTCCGCCTCTATGTTAATATTTTAAAGGAGAACAAATTGATATCATTCCTCGAAGTTTTTGCAGACTTTTCTTCGCACAAAGAAGAAAAATCACGGCAGTTTTAAGGAATTGCCGTTGCGTAGTTTTCCCTTTAAAAAATAATGTATGACAGGAAGTCTGCGACGTCGCAAACCGAGTTATGTGATTGCCGACTTACACCGTCGATTTGCTGCTTTCTTGCCTAGCCTAATATGAAACAAAAAAAGGTCATTTTTATAAAATCGAAGATAAAATTCGTGGGTTTGTAATGATATAAACTATTTTGAAAAGTCGTTTGAATGGTAACGACGATTTTACACAGAGTAGAGATTTTTACTTTCTCGCTCCTCTTGTTTACATATAATTTTTTGCGCGGACGGTGCACATCAATTTTCTCAAAACCTCATTTTTGCATTAGTGTTCTCGTTGGTAACACGGCGATAATTTCTCAAAAATGACGAACCTCTTTAGGGGAGAATTTGCAGGCGGAGTCGTTACCGACGAAAGGGTAGTCGGACTCCAGAACAAGGCCGGTGGTAAGGGCCGTTTGGTAGCCGGTGATCAGATTTCCGGGTCCACAGACGGTCTGATTGGCGCAGTCGATTATTTGTTGGACGGAGAGGTCCCGCAGGGCTCCGCTCTTAATAGCTGCCACGTTCTCGATGTTACCAACGATGGCAAAAGCCCAGTTGGCGCCGCAGGATTTCTGGTCCTTTACCGGTGTCACTGAAAGGCTCGACACCCAGTCGAAGTCCGCTGGGATCGCGATCGTAGCGTCGTCGCCGTCGGCTGAGAGGTTCACCTGGGATATCGTAGACATTGGGATAGTGGATTAGTTTTGATCGAGTCTTATGAAAGGGAAATGAGCGTTCATTTGAGTGTGATATAATTCTATACACGGAGAAAAAAACCTCGTGCAAGGGACCCGAAGTTTAGATCATATGCATCTCTGAAGTTTTCAGATTGAGCATCTGAACACTTTAGATCTAGCTGTCGAGGTTCGGATCACACATCTGAAACTTCAGTTCTTACATCTGAAGTACTTCAGATGTGACAGCCGAAGTTTTTCGGATGTGAGAACCGAAGTTATTCGGATGTGAAAACCGAAGTACTTCAGATGTAAGAACTGAAGTTTCAGATGTGTGATCCAAACCTCGACAGCTAGATCTAAAGTGTTCAGATGCTCAATCCGAAAACTTCAGAGATCCATATGATCTTTTCGGGTCCCACGCACGAAGTTTTTTTCTCCGTGCACACTGAGAAAAATGTTGTGTTCTAGTAATACATTTGGTTAGATACACAGACCAACCCAAACTTTGTGTTCATTTTGGTACAGATAGCGGGGAATTTGGTGCAGTAAACAACGAGGAGACTAAGAAACTCCAGGATCAACAATTTTGTGTATTTCTTGCCGTATTAATCAAACTTTTGGGTTGAATTTTCTCGCTGTGTAGGGGCCGTTGAGTGTCCTGCTTAAGGAATAAGAGTGCGTAAGCGTTAAATGAACTGCTTTACCTACTTTACGCAGGGTTGCAATTTTACGTAAAAAATAAAACTTGAAATTTCAGAAGAATATGAAAAATATTTTTCGAAATTCAATACAAAATTAAATGAAAGGCGACTGGTTTTCGCTTTCGGTTGTCTTGTAGTGCGTGTTGCATACCCAGCTCCTGAAAATATGTTTCATATTTTTCACAACTTAGTGAAATTTCATGATATATTCCACGGAAATTTTCAAAATTTCAAATTTTTCATTTCACCCGTGCAACCCTGCTTTAACTTAGCTCTTTCATCTCAAAACAACGTGAAGAACAACGGGAGAATACACGAAGTTGGGTTCGAACTCAACATGCAACTATTTTAACTCTGCGGTGGGTCGGGTTGCATACGCTCGATTTTACAGGCGAAATCTGAGATGTGCCCACGGCTTTCGCGATTGGGCACGGGTACTGTCGCGTGTTACGCAACGTCTCTTCAAAATTCACCCGAGACAGAATATTTCTTCTATCCCTTTCTCTCCCATTTCTTCTGTCTCTCTCTTAGTTTCTACAAGTCAAGCATTTTCAGGCCTTAAGCCAATGCTTGAATACAATCAGACGCATGATCACATTTCTTTAATATCTTTTTTTTATCAATGCACAGGATGGCTGATGCAATGCAGCCTAAATCTTACGTAGCTAAGACCGTTAGAGCTCGTCTTCTACGACTCTAACTTCACTTCGGTTTTTCACATCTTAGCGCGACGATATGTCAATTCCTATACGCTCTACCGCAAGTCGGCTTAATATGTAACTTCTTGTTCAAATTCTAATATCCGTCATATCCATGTATTACCATCCGGGCCGTGAATAAAAATTCTATGTGATTCAACGACTTTCTCATTTTCGTTCTTTAACACCGAACTTTGCTCTCCCAAATTAACGACGCTGTTTTAGCGGGACGTGAGTGTTTTCAGTCCGCTCACTAGGTTAAGTGTTCGCCACAATCCCTCAAAACGCGACGCGAAACCGAAAATCCCGTTCAGACGCGACAGGTACGATCAGTGATTTCCTCAGGCGGGACGTCTATTTTGGTCAACTATTTGATAACGCTTCTGTAGCACACATTTGTGACGCGACTAACAAACTGAGATAACTTCCGAAAGACACACTCGGCAATTGGAACTGGCAATAAAACTAAAGTTTGAAAAACTATAAAAAACAGTACTTACTTACCTTTTTCGTAATATTCTTTAATACCGCGGGATCTGTTGGTTTCAGATTGGCCCTTTTGGCCAAAAACTCTTCTTTGGACCAATCGGCCATGTCGTTCACCCCATAGAAAGCGGTTCCCTTTTCCTCTGCGTTTAGACGCTCAATGGTCTTTAGGTTTTCCTTGAAGACCTTAAACCTGTCTTCTTCCTCTTTGAGAGAGCTGTACTTCTTTCCGTGATTATGCACAAACGCTTGGAACTGTCGCCATTCATGAGAGAACGTTTCCATGCGGTTGAAAGCATCCTTGTCGATTGGGAGTGTCGCCGGCAGTGAGATACCCGATTTATTCGTCACGCGGGGAGATTCACAAGTGCACAGACTAAGAGCTGCAGCTAGCACCAAACCGAGCACTAAAAGTGAGCCGTGCATTTTGGATGGAGAAAGAACTTTACCCCGGTGAAACTTGCGAGATTTAGGGAGAGGAAATGCGCCGAAAAAAAAATCGAGGAATCTAGAATAAAAAACACTATTTTCATGTAAAATTAACACTGAACTAGGGCTGATGGTATTAGTTAATTAATTGGCAGTTGTGGAGAAACCAAATGGAATGTTTGGTTTTTTTTTATTTTTGCTTCAAAGATTATGAAGCTTTTAAATATTCTTCCAATTTCAAATTATTCTTAGTCGTCAAAGTTTTGGTTAAATTACATCACTCGTATGAAATGTGTGAAGGTTTAGAATTTCTTCTCAACTATAAAGTACAAAGAAACTAAAAACTTAACGCACTACGTTATTCATGATTCGATGATATGTAACAATACTCGGTTAAGTGATATTATTTGACCATACTATATACCACGAATATTGTATACCGCGAAAACCGGTTTGTTATCGGACACGACTTTATTTTATACGACTTCTTCTGATACTAAGCACACGCACTGAGTAAAAATTTTTGGTTTTTCTTTAGAGGATACAGAAAAAGAAAAATCCAATGAATAAGGTCCTTCAAAACTCATCAGCATAAACACAAGCGTAGAAACTTGAGTCCGAAACACGAACACAGGGGAGGTGCCGAATTTTTTGCGTGGACTGGTAGCGATTGCGTCCACAAAACTGGTTTGGTCGCAGCTAGAGAGATGTTCCCAACAATCTGTAGATCTTACTTATTTTTATCACGAGTCGATCATGCACTGATTGTAAAAGAGAGGGAAAAAACAACTTGGTGATTGTGAGCTGACCAATAACATTCTCGCCTGGTAGGTGTTATTGTTGCCGCAATAATCAATCTTCATTTTTGTGTAAAGTGCGATTGAAACATTTTAACAGACGATCTGGCAACTTTGGCGATTGGCGAGGCATTTTGCAATGTTGCTGACCCTCATGAGATCAACTGCCCAGAAAATATACAATCCTGCAAAGGCTCAACACTAAAAAGGTAATTTCATGATTCACGTATCAAATCAGCAACGGTGAAGTTTGACTGCGACCTGGCACAAGGACAACGCAGGTGATAAGGTATACAGTATACACGTGGGTGGGAAGGTTATCAAAAATAAGTACTTAAGTTTGGGTTAAAATAACGGTTATCTAAATAAAATAGAAAAAAACCGCGAAAAAATTATTCAGTTTACTTTGAAATTATTAAATCCGTATCTTTCGCTACTTTCTTATCTTTTTCCACTGATAAAGTAAAGAAAGTGCACCCCTCCTTCATTTGAGCCCATTTTCATAAATAACTTTGTTGAGAAAAATGGAGAGAGTCCTCTCACAAATGACTACATTTCTCTCATGCTTCCTTTTTATACAACCCATTTCAACTGAAAACAGACACCCTGTCGCTACACAACGTCTTTAGATGCTTGATGCTTGAACACTTACACAGACTGAGGGCACTGTCAAGTCGAACTTTTAAACACCCCGCTAATAAAGAAACCGAGAACCAAAAAATGACGATCGTCTTTTCTTTAATCGTCGCAATAGATATTGTCATCATTTGAGTTTAAGCTGCAAGGTAAGGTTCTTGGCATGAATATTAGCAGAGAATCTAAGAGGCCTGTAATAAACAGTACATTTTAATGATATGGAGAGTTAATTTCCTGGCAGTTCATCGTGTAATTCGATAAGTTTGCAATGCCTGCTTGGTAAGGAGTTAAAATACCTGAGTTTAATAAGTTTTTCAAGGTTGATTTTTGAGATATTGACTGAACTTATTGCATGTCAAATCGACACGTTTTCGTTAGTATTTAAAGAAAATGTGATGGTACACCTCTGGTTAAATGCTGATTGGAAAACATAAAATCCTGAGAAATAGTATTACATATATATCGTGCGAATGAGTGCTAACGATGAAAGGATTGCTCTTTCCACAATTCAATTTCCAAGGGAGCTTGGAACAAAATTATTAAAAAATGACATAAAACAGTTTTTTCATCTTATCTATCGACCTGAGATTTATTATTACATGACCATGCGCAAAAAATAAACGCCTGTCATATTGGAGTACTTTGCTCTTGACTCAGGCTTAATCGACAAATTTTGCCGAGCTCATTATGACAAAACTGATTATGCAGAATTACGAAGAAATTCGATAACCCAATTCACGAGAAACATTTAGCGAATCAGCTTCGATCGAGAGAGCAACGCTCATTTTTTTTTTGATAGTCACCGCAAAAACGTAAGTTCCATTTTGAGAAATGTGAATCACGACCAGTCACGACACTCTTATCAATCACCGAAAATACACATGAGTAACTGTTTGAAAAATGGCGCGGAGACAAGCTGAAACGTTCCTGTAATTAGGTTTGCATCTCATTTGAACGCGTAGTTTCAAAAAGAGAATAAGTCACATTTTAAGATGAGCCCTGTGTTACTTTGGAATATTAGCGTTCTAAGGCTCATCTGAAAACTGAACATATTCTATTTCAGAAGCAACTCGTCCATTTCTCAACCTAGTTATTTGCTCTTACTCGGTCTGTGGATGCTCGTCAAACATTGATAAACGCATTAAAGAAGGATAAACTGATTGCGGTTTTAAACGATTTAACGAGAGGCATCAGTTACGATGCTTGCTCGTTTGGCAACCTGCAACTTCACTCATTTCGTCGCTCTTCTGACGTAAAGGCGTATCTCTATTTTCACATGAACCCTGGAAAGCATAGAGTTATATGGAGAGCAGGGCTTACGTGGAAATCAAGATACACCCTTACGCCGGAGGAGCGATGATTTGGACGCACAGGAAACAATCGATCCATACATCGCAGCAGACTGCCTCACCTAGGATAGACTGTTCATAATAGATTTAAATGGAAAGGAGAACGATGTTGCCAGTTTGAGAGGCACCGTAGGGGAGAAAGGGTACCCCCTCCCTCACTGACTTTTTCCTGGCATACTTAAATAAGATAATTTTTTTTTCAGATTTTTAAAGTATAGATGTTCCGTCAATGTATTCTAAAAATTCCGTTTGACTTCAATGTTTTTTTTTTATTTTCAATGTTCATCGAAAAAGAGAAAAGAAGACGAAAAAAGGAAATGAGAAGCGAAAAAAAAAAATTGAGTGTGTGGGAATGTATGTTAAGTATAAGGAAATCGGTGACATACTGAGAAAAAAACTTCGGTTACAGGGACTGATTTTCAGTTCATATTGAGCACTAAAGTTTTTCGGTTCAAATCATCGATATTACCGATCACATGAACGGAAGGTCGCTTGCATGGTTGAACCAAAGTTCGATTCCTATGATAAAAAATTTGGTTACTTGAACTAAAAAATTTTGACGTTCAATAAAAATCAAACTTTTTTCCTCCGTGCAGAAAAGTCATTTCTACAAACAAACAAGAACCAAAAGAGCGGATTTGGCGTCCTTGCACTTTTCCTATCAGTCCGTACAAGAGAGGCAGAGCCTAAACGTTTCCAATGTCGATGACTCACCTCACCGTCGATTTTCAAGTTCGAAATGCACCGATAATTTTTCGAGGGCTTTGATTTGCTGCCCGTTAATTCGATCCTTCGATAATCAAGACAAACCGAGGAGTTAAACGCGTGTATACCATATGCGGCCATTCGGTATTTTCAGGGAATGAAGTAATACATTGCAACCGGCTGCGTTGAGAGGAAGTAAAAGCAATACTTAATGAAAGGTAGGTTTCTGTTTGAAGTGAGCGGTGAAACGTCTGAACCGATTGTCAGGAGAGCCCACTTCGAAATACTTATCGCTAACTCTGAATGAGATACCTGGAATATGTATTACATCATGAGGATGAGCTGCACGTTAGTGGAAATTATGTGCCTTTGAACGTAGGTACGGTTTCTTTTTTGGACTACACTTTGCAATTTGGAACTATAAATTCTAGCCCGGTTAAAAACAACGTATGTGTCGTTAGTTTTCTCGGTTAAAAACAACGTATGTGTCGTTAGTTTTCCTATGCACATAAGTGTTTTTCCAGAAGAGCCAGAATATATAGTTCCAAATTGCAAAACGCAGTCCATTTGAGAATTGGTTGCGCGGGTCGTAGAATAGTTTTTGGTCGTCTTCGTTTTTTTTTTTTTTAGAAATTATTAAAAAAAATTAGGATCCATCCTAAAGCTGTTTTCGCCTTTTTTGTGACTCCATGAAAACCTAAGATGGCTAAGTCAATCAGAGGAGGATCCTGCATTGGGGATACTATTCATATAATAGTGATCAAATCTTTCTCTAATCTTAGCTAAGCTGTATTATTTTTCACCATTTCGGTTGAGTACCTTTGTATGGAAAGTATGGCATCTGAGTCTTATGGAGACCCTTGAAGTACTGATGAATGGCGGCGATTCTTGGTAAAGGAGCGTCAGAAAAGGTTGTTGCCAACATTTGACGTATATGGACCACATTTTGCAATAAGAAACCACTATTTCTGGCTCATTTTAGAAGCAGCATACATGCCACGGGTTTCCTTATGCAGAGAGGTGCTTTTTAGGGAAGAGCCAGAGATAGTGACTCCTTGTTGCAAAATGCAATCCATATGGACTGCATTTTGCAATTTGGAACTATGAATTCTGGCTCTTCTGGAAAAACACTTATGTGCATAGGGAAACTAATGGCACATACGTTGTTTTTAAACCGGGCTAGAATTTATAGTTCCAAATTACAAAATGTAGTCCATATCATCTAAGCTGCGGCGGTTACCAACTTTGTCATTGTACAGTTTCAAGCTGACATTTCTTCCAAGTGTAATGCACAAAATTAGTTTCAAAACGGTGTAAATCCGTCTAAATATGTGGTTTGAATAAAGGTCATAATAGGCGATACAATTGAATCAAACTGCATTATCTGCATGCAACGCTTACCATTTTTTTGGGTCCTATGAACTCTGTAAAATTTATTTTATTGACATGGCACAGCCAAGGCATTGCAAATCTGTAAAACTTAAGATGTCTGAGCCACTCACGAGTGGCTCCTTTAGTATGGCCACACTCTATTTACAAAGGTACTGTGCGTTAAAAAAAACTTGAGCAAAAAGACTTATGATGACAGATACTACGACTGCAAAGAAGCATTGGTGGCAGACGCAAAACCCGTGATTGGGCGGTCTGTTTGCCGGCTGAAATAGATCAATCTTATTTCGGGACCCACTGCAGCCATTCGGATGAGCGGTGATTCAACTTTCCACCGTTTCGACTGAAATTACACGTCTGCATCGAATCGCTTCCGTTTGCCGTCGGCACGGTATTCATTAATGCTTCTCATCAGAAGAGTACACAGGGTGTTCCGAAAGTATTTGACACCTCTTCACTCGCTCACTCTTTATAACAAATTATGTAATACGTGGCCGGTAATTCCTCATTTTCACTGAGAAAAAAAAAACGTGGAAGTCGTACTTTCGGGCTATATACATACCTTCCGCGTTCCGGGCTCAGAGGCCGAAACTTCCGGGCGTAGCACCCGGAGCTACAGCTCCAGCACCCGGGAGTTCCAGCCACTGAGCTCGGAACGGGCGGTAAGTCTATATAGCCCATAACTTTTTGTTTTCAGCGTGGGGACCCGGTCTACGTTCAATTTCTCAAGAAGGGTATTTTCTTTCATCCATGGGTATACAATTCTTAAAGAGCACAAAATGGGATTTTAGTTTCACCATCGGAATATGATTTAGAAAAGAATATATGACTACCATGACAGATTCCTGTGGCGAGTAGGCGTCGCAGAACGCCCTAGCGCGCCGTAAAAGTGGCTTACACATACACACATATATGAGATTCATAGTGTGACTTACGGACACAGGAAAACGATCTTTCAGTGATGACGTCAAACGGAAACTTACCTGGAAAAAAAAAGAAATAGAAAATTAACATACTTTAAGATCAAATATTTAAAAAAATTTGTTGCAAGATATTCAAAAGGAGCATACATTGATATTTTCACAATATTGATTCATCACAACACAGTCGAAAATTTCTGTGTTTTATGTCACTCTGTGTTACTTTTTTATTAATTAAACACGAGCGGAGAGTGCAATGCTGCAAATGAAAATGCGCATTTTCCAATTTTCGACCTCCATAAAATTAAATCGAAGAAAACTGACTTAAAGAAATCTCAGTATACCAATAGAAAAAAAAGACGGTCGGGTTGATAGTTTTATTCCTTTCATTAAAAATTTTTCAGTTCTTTTTATTCTCCTAAATATTACTAAAAAAGGCGAGAAGGGGCTAGAGGCCTATTCAAAAATAATTATACCTACAGGAATGAGAGGAGAGAGGTTGAATTGGACGTATTTCTGCCAAACGGAACTATGTGCATTATGATGTGAGCCCTGTTACGCAAATATTTTTAAGGGTCTCAGGGCTCATGTTTTAATGTATATAGTTTCGTTTGACAGACATGCGTCCAATTATAGTTCAAAAACAGGAACTTTCCTTTATCCGATCGGACAAAATAATCCATTCCCGGAGATAAATTTAGTTTTGGCAACTCAAACACAGGTGCATGGTTTTCTGACACGGCTCTCAAGGTTGACTGATAAAAGTAAACACCATGCCTCGACGAAAATGAACCATCAAACGTCAAGATTTAAGACCACAAGCACACATCTAATATTATAGGTAACTGTCACACCCACGATAAGTTCATACCAATCCGGTATTCATTAGATATGGAAGAGGAATAGAAGGGGGAGAATAGTTCTAAATTCGGTTCTGAGCAAGTGCATGATACTAAGTGCATACAGCTGAATTAAATCGCTCCGAGATGGATGCCAGATTACTCCCGTTGCCATTTGCATGCCAGTGGCGTGGCGTGCTTTGCGATACATCCATTTTTATACCATTTAAATGTATGGTATACCACCTTAATAATCGATTCTTTACCATAAATTTAAATGTCAGGACAATCGATACATCGCAATTCACGCCACGCCACTGTTGCATGCGCCAATCTAGACAGCGAGTTCTGAAGGGCCTAGCTACGGAAAATAGACTCAACCTTTCCAATTTACGCCGACTCGTACTTTTTCTGAAAATTTGAACGGAGACTGAAAACTGCTTCATTATGTACGTTTTAGAGGACATTTTTCGGGAGCTCTCATTAAAAAATAGATGCAAAGAAGAGCATAGAGCCGAATCCAATTTCAGCTACAAAATATACTTAATCGAGGTCATTAAAAGAAAACGCAAAACAACGACAACATCACAAAAACTTTACGTAATACAATACAGCGAAAAAAGACACCCTGAGCTTATCTAGTGACTTTTTGTAACTATTACACAGCGTTCCTTTCGAAGGACATACCTAATAACTTCAAAAATATATTTATAATAAATAGAAAATATATGATTGCTCGTTGCGATTGGAGGTCGAAATTTTTAATAAAGACCAGGGCCGGATTTTCCTACTTGCCGCCCATGGGCCGCCTGCATGTTGCCGCCCCCTTCTCATTCGTTTTGAAACATCAATAAAAACCATCAAGTGAACGTGCCAGCGGGGGAGGGCGGGGTGCATAAGACGCGTTTACTCGTGTTGGACACATTTTTTGGGAAAGCCCTGTTAACACTACTAGCAGAAGGTCACGGAACTTTACGCGAAAGACAAGTTTCGTAAACCTATCTCTAATGGACAAGGCCTTCCATTCATAAGAAATGAACGAAAAAATTATGAAAGAACAAACACAAAATTTGGTTTAATGATTTTAACTTCCGCCGCCGCCGCGCCGACCGTAACGTGTTTGACGCAATGCTTGAAGTATTCATGCATTCTTGCAGGCGCTTTCCGTTTCACGCTGACCACAATAACCGCACTGTGTTTGATGCAATGCGTGCAGTCTTGTAGGCGCTAATAAGTGTTACATGCCGATTGCCGCGACGAGGGCTTCTCCTTTTCATCTCAAGTCCTCGTCATCATTTCTCCCTAGGTCGCGCCGTTCCAGGCAAAATTGTGTGTTATGTTTCTCTCTTAACTCGACTTATTAAAGGTGCTGTCTCTTGTATCACTAAAAGACGACAAAATTACAAATTACTATACTCTCAGGAAATGAGAGATTTTCTAGCCTTTTCTCGTTTGTAATTTTTTGTTTTTATAAATCCGATTTTTTTAATACCTACATTTAAAAAAATTGCAAAGTTTGCCGCCCCCTAGATTTGCCGTCATGGGCCGCGCCCCATGTGGCCACCCCCTTAATCCGGCCCTGATAAAGACTATAACAGTTTCAAATTGATGGCGACTCTTTGAGATGAATTGGACCACTTTTAGCAGAAAGGAACCAAGCCACATTCGCTATTGCCAAGTTTCTTCAGGCAATTCAACTTTTTACAAGAGAACGTTTGTGCGAATTCCTCTGAAAAATTCAAGAAATTTGCTTTGTACTGCGCAGAAATTTCACTGAAATTTGCATAATAATCCACACAACCGTTTCCATGTGAAAAACTAAATTTAAATTAATTTGGCAGTAGCCGATGTGTCATGGCTCCTTTCGGCTTAACGCGGTCCAATTGTCGCACGGACGCTATACCGAAAAAGAGTGAAGTTGATTTAGCATTCTGGATATAAACAAAGTGTGTGAGAACTCACAAAATGCTAAAATACCCGCTACGGCAGTTAGTTTTACATCTTAACATTGCACAAGTAACTGCCGTGGCAGTTAATTCAGCATTTTGTAAGTTCTCGCATACTTTTTTTACACCCAGAAAGTTAAATCAACTTCATTTTTTTCAGTGAAGTTATCCTGTCTGCGAATCTAAATAGGACTTTTCCTGTTTCCAGGAACGTTCCCAAGAATTCCCAGCTAAAACTGTCTCACGCACAGCGTTCATTCCCAAACACTTTTGAATATTCCAGAGGATTCCCTTTCCCACTTACAACTTTCCTGATAGATCCAAGAAAGTATGTCTTATCTTCCCTCACGCTTTAAGTAGGTACCCTTCCGATTGAGTGAGTTACGTTACTCACGAGAACAACAGCAAAAGTTATCGCTCCGTGCTTCACCGAAAGGGTCACGATACAAGAGTCTCAGATCCCCCCCCCCCCCCCGGACTTAACGCGGGTGTTGCGTTTGTGGCAATTTGCTCTGCGGCCGGCCGGGAGTAATAACCTCCCCCGCAGTTTGCCGCTCCACGACGGCTCGGGAAATTTTTAAGCACGCAATGTTATTGGCTTATTTCGTAATTTTATCCCCGCAATGGCAACGGCACATAATAAGAGACCTCTCGGTTGGACGGTGCATTTGCTGAATATTTCAACGGAGGACATGCAAGTGGGCATTGGAACTGCCCGAGTAATATTTACCGCGGAATGGACGACCCACCTCCTTATCAGCCGACTCGCGAGTCAATTTATCGTAATCAGAGGGGATGAATTATTCTTTTTTCGGGGAAACTTCTTTTCATACTTTGGAAAAATTAGGCTGGGATAATGACGATTTCAGCCTATTGCTTTGCTGTCAATGCCATCCTTGTATGGGCCAGGCTTAAAAATGCGGCGGCGGTTGCATTTGACAGGTTAGTTTGTTGTTAGAGCGAATTTCCCTCTCGGTTGTACACCAGTGGCGTGTTCTGCTTTGCGATGTATCGATTCATCTGCCGTTTAAATGTATGGAAAAGGATCGATAAACAGTGTGTTTACAACGAACACATTAATAATCGATTCTTTGCCATATAGCTTCAAACAGGAAAATAACTATGATGATAATTCACGCCTCGTCTCTTTATGGAAAGGGGCTATGCTTACAAGGGAAACTACCCTCCAATTAAAATGACTTACACAAAAATGAGCCAAATCTAGAGGAGTAGAAATAGTGAGAAAAATACAACTGCAACATTTATTTGTTAGAGGGCTTACTTAAATAAACTTTTTTCGGGAATATCTTGTAAGAATAAGATGTAAGTAGCGTATTGTCCTTCTTATGCTCCTTTGGTCTTATTTTTCTTAAAGCGGTACAAAATGAAAGGGAGGCTATCATTCAACGGTGTGTTTCGTTTGTCAGTCGTTAGACGGAAAAATAATTTTATTTTTTCCTTCGAGAGAGAACTTAGACGATTGTTACGCAACGAACGATAAAATGCGGATCGTTAACAAGAAGATGCCCAGAAGTTCCGGGAGCCGGATTCGAGCCGCTCCTGTTTCATTGAAAAAGGCCCCTCATCAGGGTTGACCCTCAAAAACAAGCGGTGAGGTCACGGGTCATTGCTGAAGGCTGAGTAGGTTCTTTGTTCAGCATGATGGTGATTCGATAGATATGAAAAGTTCGAAACAGGTGTGGAATATCTGAATCATCGATGCCACAGCAGGAGACCGTCGCACAGACCGCATTCCAAAGTAGAACGAGCCATTGGAAGAGCGATCAGATGATACAATTTTGTATCAATCTAGAAATTTCAATATTTATTTGCCACATGATACATTTGAAGGGGTAGATGGCCAGACCCTTTACCAATTTTGTTTGGTTCAAAGTTTTTGCGGTCCATTTATTATATGTAAGTTTGTCCATTCGTTTTTGTGTGCAATGTTTTTTTTCTAGCTAATAGTTTATGTAGTTCAGTTACAAGCAATGATATAGGTGCCGAAATTTCTCCATAATGGAATTTAACCCTTAGATGCCCAAAACAGACGTAAAACTGACCCAACGATCCCTGATAACACGTATCCGCGGGTTTCATGGGACCGGTACATCCGAACTTTAGATGTAAGGCACAAATGCATCCTATAAAAGAATAATACATGAACTAGGAAAAACGAGTGAAAATCAAACATCAACACAGCTGAAGACAGGAGAGACGTTTTTGGGTCTGGTTCTTTAAAACTTTTCTCCCGAATCGGAGTGTGACAATTTATTGC